AATCACATCCGGCCGCACAGATGACCCAGTCATCTGTATTACGATTCTCCCTGCAAATACTGTGATAATATACTTAGACTTGCTGTCCTCTCAAATTAAAGGAGAGCTTGTTTCATGCAAATTGGCAGTCCAAGCACATTAGATTATTTCTTTGGTCTGTTAGTTCAAACAAGTTGAGGTGGTGGGGGGTGGGGAGGGGGTGGCGGGGGGGGGGGGGGGGGGGGGGGTGGTGGTTAACCTAGTGGTTACAATGTTCTGTCGCCTTAGGCCCGGGTTCGATTCTTCATACGAGTTCAAGGTGTGGTTCCCTTCCCTGCTAAAAGCGGATGGAGACTTGGTTCTGTCATCATTTCACACATGGGAGAAGGCAAAGTAAGGTACGTTACTGACACTGCCGTTGTTATGAAGCTCTGTCTGATTATGTCAGGATATAGTGTGTCTTAAAGGTATTGCTTTTCAAATTAATTACAGTGTATTTCACTGTTTTATTTCCTGAATCTTAACAGTTATATTGTTCTGAGTAGTTGATGTGTCCTTTCTGAATACATTTGTTTTATTTTAAATGATAGGAAGTTGAACTATTTTCAGAAGATTGTGACATCAGCTCATAAATGCTGACTTTATAGTAATGTACGTTACATTTTGTGGTCAGTCTCTGGAGTGGCCTTTCATTTGATCAAGGTATGACAAGTACTCTTGAGTGGGGATCTCATATCGCGTAAAGATGTGTGTTTCGTCTTTGGTTTTGAAATGGTGTTTGTGTATTTTTGTTTGATATCAAATATGTTCATAATAACATTATCTGAGTGAGTGAGTGAGTATGGTTTAACGCCGCTTTAAGCAATATTCCAGCAATATCACGGCGATGGACACCAGAAATGGGCTTCACACATTGAACCCTTGTCGGGAATCAAACCCGGGTCTTCGGCGTGACGAGCAAACGCTTTAACCTGTAGGCTACCCGACCGCCCAACATTATCTGATGTTGTGGTCCAAATCAGAGTTAGAGTAAAAGTACACATTCTATATATGCCATGCTATCCACATGGTGAAGGGGCTGAGACCTGTGCTGGACAGCCTGGTGTCAATACATATCAGCAGCAATAGGTCATCGGAACAGAATGATTGACGAAGCTGTTTAGACAAATGTATTCCAACCAACGTACATTACTTCACTTATTTCTGCTGTATTTGTTTTAAACGCAAATGTTGATACGTGCTTTATAATAAACGCTAAGTTTGACGTTACTGGTTTCTTCATTCAGTTATATTTACAGCAAACTAGATTATGGTGAGCTAATGTGAAATTGATTTTCAAATCTCTGGTTCTGTAAATGCAATGAGTTATTGAGAATGAGTGTTTACACCCATATACGAATTACCTGTATGGATGTTGTGCCCGTTGTTTGTCTTTTCCTCTGTTTTCTATTCAGCATTTTTTAATTTGAAAATTTATAAGGTGGCTTAGCGCCCGCAATGAATTTAAAATTTAATAAATAAACCAAAGTAAGGTATAAACACGATATCTCCCTTGGTTCGTGTATACTTCAAGCCGTTCAAAGTGGAAACTTGGAAATTTTCTAACACGTAACTTTTGATATAAGAAAATAATAAATTCAAAGCACAACTCCAAGAAATTTCATCAAGTGGAACATTCCGTCCAGTTATCTCCCTTCATCCAGGTATATTGATGCCTCAATCCCTATCTATCCATCGGTAGTCTCCCTTCTCCCACTATGAACATCAGCTGAAGAAGAAGAAATATATGTAGACAGTTAACAAAGCCAAGAGACGAGTATACGAATCACATCCTGGCGAATGGTAGCTCAATCGGCCTGAAACGCGAAAGCCAACTGCTGCAACATCTGGGGTTGTGGTTGACGGCGGCGTAGCCGTCTATCCAATTCATCCCAAAGGTGCTCTTTAGGGTTCAAATCCGGGGATCTGGAGGGCCAGTGGAGAACATCAATGTTGTTGTTGTGTAGACAGGCTCTTGTGATCCGTGCTGTATGCGGTCGAGCGTTGTCCTGCTGGAATACACCGTTGCCGTTGGCTGCAATTGGTAGGACGTGTGGTAGGAGAATTTCGTTGATGTATCGTTGAGCCATAAGATTGCCCTGGATATGGACCAAACCTGTTCTGTCATGATAATAGATAGCCGCCCACATCATAACGCTACCCCCACCATACCTGTCCACTTCCTGTATGCAGTTTCTGGTATAACGTTCTCCACGACGTCTATAGACCCGTGCTCTTCAATCCCATCGACGGATTCTTCGCTGAACCAGATGTTTCTCCATCGCATTTGAGGCCATACCCTGTGTTGACGACACCAATGCAGTCGTTGCTGAAATTGTAAGAGAGTTTAAATTAGTGGTGTTTATTTTGACAAGACACTAACATGAAATGCTCATAAAACTCATGGTGTTAACAAATGTAATAAGGTTATCAAACGAAGTGGGGTGCTGATAAATCATCTATGTTATGGCTTTATAAAACATTTATACTGTCACGGAATTTAAGCGTGCCTCCAAATGTCATCTTTCCAAACCTGACCGCATTCAGTCAAAGGCTTTGGGAATCTGCACGGGTGCCTTTGCAACTACACTGCTCTCCAGGCTGAATGCTCAGAAATGTCACTAGGCCTTCGTCATGAACGTATGTCTCTCAAACTGAAATATAAAACCAACTATAATGTAGCTATTGTTAATGATTGTGTTGAGGATATGATTTGCGACCGGTCACATGGCAACGTCCCTTTTGGCTTGAGTGAGTGAGTGAGTTTCGTTTTAGGTCACATCGGCAATATTTCAGCCATATCGTGACTATCAAAGGTTAAAGATTATAAATAATTTAAAACGTATAAAAACCTGCCAACGAAGGGCAGTAAAATAACCAGACTTATCACAGAGAAATATTTAAAACTAGTGTGGAATCATTAAATGGATATTACGATACATTACAATGCATAAAAAAACAGGCTATTGATCTCCAACAACTGAAGGTAGATCACCATACTGGGGACCTTTTGGTTTGAGTATTTAGAAACTTGCTGCTAAGCATGAAGTTTTACAGTGAAACCTAGTTGATTCTTCTGAACGTCAGGATACTGCTTCTGAAACCATGCCTTTGTTATTATCTGAATTCAACCATTGACAAAAAAATGAGTCCAAATGTTATAAACGCTATATCTCAGGATTTTATAAATGAACATTGTGCAAACTTCACTCACATATTTAACGATGCCTCAAATGTTTTTGCCTTGGTTCGAACTCCTCGGGCATATTGGACATCAGATTTGTACATCTCAAGTGTGTTCAGGCTACATGACCATCTCTCAGTTTTTATTCTGGAAGCACTAAGGTGGGATAATGAGTGAGTGAGTGAGTTGGGTTTTACGTCGCTTTTAACAGTATTCCAGTTATGTCACGGCGTGTCAACTTAATGTGGGAGGAAAGCCTGAAGTAATGCAGGTCTCAGACGTTTACCACTTAGGTTAAACCCACGAGCACGGATATGGTGCTGACAAAGCTCATGATGTCAATCACTGGATTATCTGGTCCATCCTCGATTATTTACAGGCGCCGTTATTTAGCTGGAAACTGCTGAGTGCGGCGTTAAACAACAAACAACAACACAAACAACATGTTAAGGCAATCGAATCTGGTATCAATGGTTCACGAAGTGATATGTTTATGAAATATTAAAGCTGAATACATTATCTAACTCAAAGTATATTACGTGTTCATTTTCTCTAATTACACTTTTGGGCCAGAACATATTTTATGGTTCAATTCAGCGGGCAATATAAGACTTCCTGACTTCAGAAATGAAATACTGATTACTTGGTGTTTTAAAATATAATCTTTATTATATTGGTTAATCATTTCATTTCCATTTTTCACTTTGCTCTTGTTTAAAGTCATTTGATGTGTTGGGGGCAAGAAAAACTTAAATGGGCCAGGTCGCCCTGAAACCCATAAACCATACCATACCTTACTTCAGTTAGGGGGCACAGGTGGCCTAGTCGTCTAAGGCGCCGCGATTCGCTGTGCAGAGTTGCGTCCCTTGGACACGCCAGAAACTTGTGATTGTGGGTTCGAATCCCGGTTCGCCCCGATTATGTTTCTAGGTTTGTCAGAACCATACCCGTGTTCGTGGGTTTTACCGAAATGGTAAACGTCTGAGACCTGTATCACTTCGGGCTTTCCTCCCACATTAAGCTGACACACTGGGCTATAACTGGAATATTGTTAATAGCGGCGTTAAACCCAACTCAAACAAACACACACACACACACACACACACACACACACACACACACACACAGAGAGAGAGAGAGAGACACACACACACACACACACACACACACACACACACACACGATAATAGCCGCTTGTTCTGTAATACCCGACACCGCTCTACATTGTTTGTGTAGCGGGTGTAAACGCCATCAGTTATGAGTATATACGTCATTCATAATTGGTGTAAACGTCATCAATTATGGGTATACACGGCATCACTTATTGATGTAAACGTCATCAGTAATTGCTGTACATGGCATCAGTAATGAGTTCCGTGACACCACAAAAGTATGAAACCAATCCCCGACGTCCCCAGTAGTGATATTGCTTGAAATTTGCTGATGGGTGTCGTCAAAGATTCTCCATCATTATTATAGACAGGAACCCTTTTAATGTGCGCCGAATTGTCATACCCACACATGAGTAAGGAAACCTATGTTTTATGGATTTTATTTCATATGTTCTTTCTATCACAGAAACACAAGATATACATGATAAAAAGTGGAAGATATAGAGACATAAATTGCAAAAATAGCCCTTAAAACTGATTACCTGCAGCGCGAATCTTGGTTTCCACGCCCAAGTACAACCCTTGATAACCCCATGTTCCTGATAACACTAGCTTATATTTACATGGGACAGCCGGTGTAGCCACAAAGGATCTCGGTGAGTAATGGAAGCCATGGATACATACTTCACTAATGACTAGATCTAATATATTTACTTACAAAGAAAGTATAAGAGGCATTGAATTCACATTTACCGCATATACATTTCTCTCTAAAAATAAACCCGTCGTTGTATGTTTATTCAGTACATCAAAAGACATACTTTCACTCGAAGTGTTTTAAATGATGTTTTGTCATGGTACTATTGTTTTAATATATGTGCATATTTGTAAAACCAATCCTTGAATTCTACCTCTAATGCCGCTGCTAGTGACCATAGTGTTAATAAAGGTCAGTTAAGTTCAGTTCAATGATCCACAAGGATTCCTGGTCCGGAAAGGTCCCCACTGGTTTGTCTGGCCCAGACTCTCACCCCCAACACCGGGTTAGGCTCAGCATGCCTAATCTAACGACCAAATGGATCAGGTGATCAGGATTGGTGACTTCCTTGATGGCGTGTTATCTATAACAACGGCTGCGTTGATCGTTGTTCATGATATCAAACACTGGATTGTCTTGTCCAGACTTGATTATTTACAGGCCGCCGACATGTATCTGGAATATATCTGAGTGCGGCGTTATAGAACAAACAAACAAAATGTGGCCCAGAATTGATTGTTCTCAAGCCGTTTTGCGCCGATTCATTTTGATTTTTATATCGAAGAAAGTAATTTTGGAAATTTAGGAATACGAACAAACACCTAAATTACATTTACCAAAATTAATGAATTCTCGAAATAACACACGTTTCTAGGGTAACTTACTTGGTGGAGCAATGAACGTGCACGTCGTGTGGGGGCTGCTTCTGCTTGGCGTCTATGATGTTGCTGCGCTAACTATCATGGAGGCACTGGCTTCCAGGTACGACGTCATGTCCTTCTCAAGTCTCGTACGAAGAGCCGGACTGGAGAGTCTCCTGAACAAAGGTATGTTCACACGAAAGGTATGGATGTATGAACTTGTATTTGACTATGACATTTCTATTTGCCAAATATCCCTATCAGTGTTAGCCTATCTGTCAGAGTTGTACCCCTTAGGCATGCCAGGATCCGCACTTGTCATAAGTAGGTATTCCAGCCCATAGTTTAAGCTATGTCGCCTTGGCTAAAACATTTCAAGATCAGTTCGCTATATTACACTTACACGACCATTTGCTATTCTGCGGAGAGGAGGGGTTCGGGGCTGGGGTGGGGGCGTTGGTAGGAGTTGACTTGGATTTTGTTTCGAGATTAGATTTTTCAACTACAACCACAAAACCCAATTTCTTTTCAATTAAAACTATAAGCCTGAATTTTTAAAGTCAAAACACCTTGCAACAATGTTACTTCTGTGGCAGTCACAATCTGTAGCATAATTATTTTTCCAAGAGTTTTCGGGGACATATGGAATATTGCCCAGTGAGGCGTCAAACAACAACGAAAGGTCAAAGACAACCAACCCGAGGTTCACACTGATATAATTAAATTTTCGCTGTGTTCATTGTGATTCCTGATTTCTGATAAGGTGAATTGGTCACGTGTTATTTCATTCCTTTCCCAAAGAATGTAAACAATTAAGACACGCCCACCGAAGCGGATTATTCGTATTTTCACCACTACGGAATGTCGGGGAATCCCAATTACAATTAATAGAAATCCGTTTCTGCTACCCTGAATTATCATGCACAGGACTTTTTGTCTTCATGCATATTCATTGGCCAAACCATCCTTCGAGATCGAAGGCTGAGAAGGAATGAAACAGCAAACGTGCAGGCTCACTCGGCTGTTGTTTTTTTCGCTCGCATGGGTTCCACAAATTTCATGACTTCAAGTTTCATTTCTTGCTCTCATTTTTCCAACTGTGTCTTCCCGTTCTCAGGGAACAAATGTTTGTATCTTGCGGTTACTGTCCATGTCATTTGAAACAGCCGTCTTCTGCTGACATATATTTGTTCCCATTCCTCACAGTCTGAATGTTCCAGTTCTTCTCGCCACTTGCCTTGATTGACAGGTCCAATGAAAATTTGTTCATGCTACTCTCTGTTGATTGGCTCCTGACTTTGTAGGCGTGTCAAGTTATGTGCGTAAATTTAACAATCACCGTATTCATGTCATGTCACAGTATGTATTCCTACGCCTGGAATGTTTACCAATCTCGTTATTTTGTCTGTTTACATGATTGTTTTTGTAGATAAACCATGTATTCGCAGTCGAATTTCATTTTAAGGATTGACTGTGTATTGTTTTGTGTTAATTTAGGTGTGAAGCTAAAAATCCATGTGAACCTTTTGTAAAAATCAGCTACGCGGAGTTATACAGTTTGCAAATCAGTTTTTCGATACACAGTAAATAAATCAATAAATGAAATACAGCACAAAACAGAACTAACAAATTACACTACCTGTTTTCATTCTGGATGAAACTACACAGTCTTCGTCGCAGTAGACGCGGCGATTCAACTGCCTTAAGAGTTAACTTGGACAGGTGCTCATAATATCAAACACAGGATTGTCTTGTCCAGACTTAATTATTTACAGACCGTGTCATATGGCTGGAATACTGCCGAGTGTGGCTTTAAACAACAAACAAACAAACAAAATGTGGCCAGGATTCGATTATTCTCAAGCCGTTCATTGTGATTTTTACATGGAACAAAGAACAACAAGCCCTAGGTTCACGCTGATACAACTGAAATACGGTTCACAAGACAACTTGAAAATTAAACAACCTCTTTTCGTACTGAAGGAAACTACACCGTCTTCGTCCCGGTAGACGCGGCGTTTCAACTGCTTCCCGAGCAGATGATTACGCGGCTGTATCAGAAGGAGAACCTGCTAGAGTTGAAGGCCCTGGTCAAGTATCACATCGTGCCGTACACTTGGAACACGCACCACCACTGGACAGGGGAGAAAGTCAACACCCTGGCGTCAAAACCTGTACGCATGGTCACCTACCCCCACAACCAGGTCCGTTGCTGTAACATGGCGTCCACAGTGTTTAACGGGTTTTGTTGCCCTTTCCCACGTTTGTATTTTTCTTCATCTTTTGCTCTTTTAAAGTTTAACGTTGAACTTCTTGCGATTTGGCTTGCGTCCAGGTGACTGTTGTCAACGGTGTCGTCCTCACGGAAACCAACCTGAGCGTCTCTAATGGCCAAATCTTTCTGCTGAGCTCTACCCTGTCTCCTCCGACTTTTGATATTGCCCAAGACCTATACCAGGAACCCAATTACTCCTCGTTTCTGACTGCTGCCGCCTTGTCGGGAATGACGAGCAAACTGAAAGGTTTGAAAATCCCCACACTATTATTAACCGAATTTTAAACATTGGGGCAAACGTTGAGTAATAATAAAGTAGATATGACGGTGTTAAAAGCTAGTCTTACATATTGCAAAGCGTTCAAGCATACAGGAATCCATTAAATATTGACAATAAACCGCATTCAAGTACATGGGTTAACGTTGTAAACATTGAAATAACACTCTGTATTCACGTACACAGGTAAACGTTGTAAAACATTGATATACTATGCCCCGTTTAAGTGCACAGGTAAACATGATTGTTTTTACATATACATAATACGCTTTGTCCAAGTACACAGGTTAACGATTAAGATTCAGTATAATACGCTGCGTTAAAGACATCGGGTTAAAATTAACGTTACGTTTGACGGTCGTGGTTATTGTGTTCAATTTGACTATGATATGCGCTATAATAATATCATGAACATGGATCAACGTTTGGGATTGATGACATGTATCAACCAAGTCAGCGAGCCTGACCACCCGATCCCGTTAGTCGCCTCTTACGACAAGCATAGTCGCCTTTTGCAGCAAGCATGTGTTGCTGAAGACCTATTCTACCCCGGATTGTCACGGGCCCAATTTGACTATGATATACGACAAGTCAATTCAAATTAAATATCAAGTTTGCTATGTATGACTGACACAGGCATTTTTGTCTACAGAAGACAACATCACAGTCATTGCTCCATATGATCTCGCATTTACTAAAATGGATAAAAATAAGACGGATGCTTTGTTCAACAACATACCCCTGCTACGAGGTGAGTGATGCTTTGTTCAACAACATTCACATGGCACGAGCCAATACTACAAGGTGAGTGAAGTTTTATTCAACAAAATGCCTTTGTTTCAAAGTGAGTGAAGCCTTTTACATCAACCTGTCCATGCTTCAAGGTGAGGGACTTAATTAAAAGCGACCAAACTATTTCCGTACTTAATTGAAATCTCTGCTAAAAGCAGAGTCGATTGTACGATTACGACTACATCATGAGCTTGTGTTTATGAATCACTGTAGAATAGTCGTGCCACCAGGCGTTCGCGAAAGGGTGAGCGTATCCTGCCCCACCGGTGGCACCCGTCACAAACACATGCAAAGGCAAGTCAGTTATTCATCTGAAAATACATGGGAAAATATGGTACAAGTCAAAATAGGGAATTGCATCGGACATCATTTTTGGCACTCATGCGTCAAATTCGGAAATGTCCTTCACAATTTTTCCAAAAAACCTTTTGAAAGCTTCACTGAGGCTTTAAATGTTGTAAGCTTGATCAAACAACTTCTGAGCAAGATTCGTGTGATGCTCTTTGAAATCTTGGTAGAAAGAGCATGCTCGACTGTATTTCAAAAGTTGTGAAATGTAAACATATAGGCTGGAGCTGCTCGAATATTGCTCGACATGAAGGGAAAGTTAACTGTTAGAAAGTTGAAATCATCCCTCTTGCCATGCAGTCTTGTGGAGACTGTTTTGTCATTCTGAATCTGTTAGCATAGATCCGAATATTAAACAGATTTGGCAGTCTCGATGGTCTCTTTTATTTCTAGTTTAGGTGGGTAAATCAGTATAAGGGAACAGGCTATTTGATGGTTAGTGAACTATATCAGATTATCGATACACCTGAAACTTAAGTTAGCTTCTTGGCCAAATTGACTTGTTTTTACTTTGACAATCCGAGCAGAAATGCCGATTCATATACATAAAGAAACAGATCCGCAAGAAGGGGATAACAATTGGTGCCCACGGGGATGACTACTTCTTATCTAAATGTCAAACCAGGTCTTTGAAAGGCATTTAGAAGTGATACACATAAGGAAGAGAATATATGGATGTCAACTTCTTTATTGTGAGGAACACAACGTTTCAGAGTATATGCTTACTCCTTCATCGGGTGAATGAATCATATGAGGCAGAGAGCACATACATGTACATGTAACACAATTAATAAGATAACAAAAGGTGGACATTGAAGAAGAAGACGAAAAAGAAGAAAATATTTTATTTATGTGTCACATGTTGTATGTGTACACATTAGACATTAAAAAATCAAAAATCAGGCCACAAAAGGCCGATGAGACACAATGCACAATGAAAAACATTATTTATATAAAAGACCTTTATATAACCTATAGGATTGCAAAACCCGATAAAAATGAATTACAATTTTAATTAAGGAAATGTTGCCTACGTGCAAACATTTTTTAAATAAGTGCGGCAAGAGGTTTTATATACTTGTTACAGTTCATTAAGAACACTGTCTGGTACAGGGCAAATTGAACCCACCTAGGTAATTAGCACCGACAAAGATCAAAGCAATAAGTCTCAAGCACAAGGCAGATAGGTTCCCTGGTCACGGTTCATGGCTGGCTGGTGTTTCCTGATGCCCATGGCTTCTTGTAGTTTTCTTTGTGTCGCCAATTGTGTTTGTTGGTAGAACGGACTTTGGTGACTTCCTACATGATGTTATGGTTTTGGTTCTTCAGGATGTGTTCGGAAATAGCGGATTTCAGGTCGAGTTTGTTCACAGAGGTCCGATGTTCTTTGAGATTGCCGTTGAGGGGTCTGAGGGTCTCTCCAATGTACTGGAGGCCACAGTTGCAGGGGACCTGGTATATACATCCTCGGGGGTTGAGACATGCGCTGCTGGTGCCTCTGCCATTGGCTTGTAGATGGATCTTGATCTAGACATGTTTGCTTTGTTCATGATGAAGCTGGAAATCTGATGAGTGACAGGGCCTTGGTAGGGTATGGTGATTCTGATAGGAGATTGAGCTGGTTTAGGCCTGGGTTCTTGAGGGTCTTGCGGATGGTTTTGAAGACTAGGTGGGCAGGATAGCTGTTGAGGGAGGTGAATGTTTCCTTGAGATGGTCCAGTTCACTGCTGAGGGCATCAGGGTGGCAAATGGATTTTGCACGTCTGATGAGGGTGGCGATGATAGCGTGTTTTATCTGGGGATGGTGGCAGGAGTTGTAGTGGATGTACTGGTCTGTATGTGTGAGCTTGCAATACACTGATGTTCTTAGTCCGTCATCTGTGGTTTGGAGGGACACGTCTAGGAAAGGAAGGTGTTGATTGGTGCATGTGTCGTCTACATTTCGGTACCAGCAGAGGGGTTGGAATGGTGCTGTGGAGAGGGCTAATTCTTCAAAGGATGTCATGAAGATTTCAGTGATGAGTGGAGTAAGCATACACTCCGAAATGTTAGGTTACTCATACTAAAGAAGTTGACATTCATATATTCTCTTCCTAAAATGTCAAACCATCACATTTTACACAGATGTTATCAATAAGGAAGTCCAGCTTTTCACATAAATTGTCCTGAATATAGATATGTAACTGTATCTCTGGTCACCACGTTTTGTAACAAAAGCCCCATGGATCAAGGAATAAAGATTTTCCTCAAGTTTGTCATGTGGGATTGTGGTGTGAAAACTTAAAAAATCAAATGTTTTGACAGAGTGGAACTTGTTTCTTTTCTGAGATTGGAAAGAGTCAAGCAAATCCTTTGAGTTTTGGAGAATCCACATGGTATTAATTCCACTTTTCTCAGATGTCTCACTTGTTTCTTTGAATATCAGGAAAGCCCTGCGTGATTGTATTAAGGATTATGGTTAATCTTTGAGACATGGATCTGGTGGTACATTTGCTGGCCCCAGCCATATATCTCTCTTTGAACAGATTTTTATGGAGTTTTGGAATTCAGTTCAAAGGAGAAAAGGACATGTCTTCAGGTTTTAGAGTCAAGTCAAAAATTGATAGAACAGATGCATGATTTAGGCAGATTTCATCCCCAGTTAGCATACTGGCCTCATATGATGCATTATTTGACATGTTATTTATACGAACTTCTAGGATCGAACAATTAATGTTTTGTTGCTTACATGTGATGGATATGTTATTTGAAGCGGGAAAAACTACACACCTTTCATGTGGGGCAGCCAGACTTGCAGGATGACTCCTGGCTGGGACAGAATGGGTTTATTCCAATTCCCTTTCCTCTTTTTAGGATTGTGCATTTTACCAATGACAACATCACATACTGACTTAATCCGCCCTGAAAGACATTCAACAGGTTTATCTTCTCTTGTGGCCCATTCTAAAGATGTGATCCCAATTGGTAGGGGGTTGCTCACGATATTTGGATTAATATAACTTACGAAGTCCCCTGAGATTATGTGACCTACAGGCTTATAGCAGTATGATGAGTCTTGGCAGCCACAAGTAGTGGATTACATCATGTGCTGCCAAGTCCACGTTCCGCGACATGTTCCTATAATTGAACAGCCTGGATGAAATGGTGTTCGTATAGGAAAATGAAATTGTAAAGTGAAACTATTGTGGGGCATTTCGGGAAACTTATTTTTGTTTGAGAATGTTACTTAAATCAAACAACATGTTCATGCTTCAGTATGAATAATCAGGTGAGTGAAGATTTTTCTAACTTTGGGAGGTGATTCCTTGTCCAACACCACCCCAATGCCATGAGGTTAATTAGTGATGCTTTATTCAACAACATGCCAATACTACAAGGTGTGTGATGCTTTCTTCCACCACATCCCAATGCTACAAGGTTAGTGAAGTTTTGTTTAACAACAGGACCATACAACAAGATAAGTGATGCTTTCTTCAGCAATATGTCCATGCTACGAGGTGAGTGATCCTTGTTCAACAACATTGCTGACTAAAGTACTCACGGAAATGAAAAAAACCTGTTTTTTTATCTCAGATTTTAAATAAATGCAGGTAATACACAAAATATATAAATATTCAAACAACTCAATTAGTACTAATTGGGCCTTGGCACAAATACAGCGTATCAAAGGTTTTTAATGTCTCTTTACACGTAAAAGTGTGTAAAAATATGAACAAAACAGACTATTTTGAAACTGAGCATAACCAGGTGTTAGTAGATCAAGGTCAATGTCCATGACCTATGACACCTTGACAACAGGTGAAAACAGGTGCTTAAAACCCACGTGCATGTGATTTGTCAGTGGTTAGTGATTTGTGAGTGGCATTGTGGGATAGTGAATCATCGTCCAAATATCAGAACGTAAAAGTAACATATTCCCTTCTCAAACAACAACTTACATGTCATTATTATTATGTACATAAACATAGCTGTTATTTTTATTATTGTTTTGATAACTTTTTTCCAGGCTAATTTGCATAATGCCTATAGCCTGTTTCTGCTATGTCAATTTGGACTTAGTTTTATTTTTTAATGTTGAAAGTGCCTACAAATTACCTCCTGTAAAGTACATTTTGTATTGAGCACTGAGATAAAACTAGCAAATCCAGACTAGTACTTGTCCAGTTGTTTTGTTATTTCGTATTTACATCTACGTAATGCTTTGTGTCGATTATTAAGTCCAGCAAAACAGTTTTTTTTCATTTCCATGAGTACTTTAATTAATGTTTTCACTCTTTATAAGAATAATACGTGAACCATGAATTCTGTTTTTCACCTTCTCAAAAAGTATATTTTTGTCCTTAATAAATATAAAGGGTTTTCCAACCCCTCCTCCACCGACTTGTAAATCGCCATACAAATCTACCCCCAGCATTGGTGGAATTTCACATCCTGCCAGGCGTGTACTACACTGGTGGTTTGTATGACAATGAGAAACTCTACGACGACAACTCTAAATACGACAATACCTACACCATCCACCAATTCGGCAAGTTTCAACTTCTAGAATTTTACTGCTAGCACAAATCTGTAAAGTTACATTCAAAAGCTACAATGTATCAGTTTAAGGGTTAACCCCAGTTGGTCATCAGGTTTTAAATTTTCATGCTGATTATGAACGGATTGCCTACTTTAGTCCCGAACATATATGTTGTGCATTACAGTGATATGAACTTGATAGAGCACTAGTGTTCCATTTCATTCCAATGAAGTACTACCACGGGTCCTCTCACATGCAGACAAATACACGAGTTCCACGAACAGTGCTCCATGTATAATTGAACAGTTCGAGTAAACAACACTTTTCACTGTCCATTCAAGGTCCACTTTCACTCGAGATACATGCAGCTTGAGCGGTACATTTGTGTAGAGGGTATTGGTTGGGGTACATTAGATAATTCTACCATACATGACGCAAATGACAAACCCCCATTGTACCAAGGTCATTACCAGTGCTCTGAAGCGGTCATATTCGTCACGTACTCTCACAAAAGATGATATGCTTGCAGTGGTATTACATAGATGTGAATTCTAGTGTTCATGGTATGATAATATAACAGTCAAGGGACAAAGGTGTCACTGGTTTTCGGCAACACAACCCATTAAGCAGCGCTGCCTCCCTTAGGAGTGCCATAAACCTATGATCATGGATTCGAATCCCTATTATGTTTCGAAGTTCGTCAGGACCATGCCACTGCTGGTGGGTTTCACCACAGTGATAAACGTCCAAGGCCTGCATCATTTTAAGATTTTCTTGCAAATCAAACTCATACGCCGTGATGTGTCTGAAATGCTGCTTTAAGCTCCTCCCTCCCGTCCTCCCTTATTCAACCAACCACCCACCCGCTCACTCACGCCCTTGCTAATTCACTCTCAACAGGTAAAGATGGCTTCAGGGTTTCACCGTTTGATGGAACCTTCTTGACCAAGAATTGGCTTGCAACTAATGGCGTCATCCATGCCATCACTGGAGTGAAGTATACATGGCCGTTTTATCGAGATATTGATAAGATAATCGGCTAAAACCAAGGCCAAAGACATCACATTCTAAATAAAGAGATGTTCTGATGTGAACTACCGTTTATTTTTGTCATTTGCACGGACATCATCCTTATCGACGCGAGAGCTTCAAGGACTTCAGTCAACAAGAAAACATAGATTCTGGACCAGACAAGCCAGTGATTGACATCACGAGCATCGATCCACGCAATTGGGATACGATGACATGCATCAACCAAGTCAGCGAGCCTGACCACCCGATCCCGTTAGTCGCCTCTCACAACAAGCATATTAGATTAAAATAAAAAATGCAGCAAAGAGAGTTTGGGTGATCCTTGCACAGTCAGGCTGGTAAGGCTCATCATCACCTCGGGGCCCTTGACCCTCTACACGCAGTCCAGACAGAAAATGGGACTTCTCCCAGGAAGCGCTGCCTAGCTATAGTCGAACCCGCCCAGAACTTTTCGGAAAATGTGAAGACTCCCAGAACACTGCAGCCTTCTGCGAAGGACATTCAACAGGGTTGCTGATCATCTTGAAATACTGAATCTAGGCCGATTTGATATGGCACTTTACTTGGTTGACACTCATTTCTAAACCGTCCTGCAGTACAGACCCATCAACAAAGTCAACACTGATATTGAGATTATGTCCAACATCCTGGGTTCGTTTAAGAAAACTCAGGAATGCCTTGACATGTCTTGACATTCTTCACAAGAGGATCATCAGACAAATACATGTGTGCAAAAGTGCACAATACAAATCTATCATGAAGAGCTTCCACGTTAATCAAACCACTATACTTGCTGTACTGAATATCACATGCACTTTCTGTCTCACAATACATAATTCAAGAATTGTAAGATAATGTCCAATAGTTCTTTAATGGGACACTGTTATGTACAAAATGAAAGTGGTTGGCCATTTTGTCAGTACCTAATCCTCTTGATCATCGCGATAAGCTGCCTTTTCACTTATCTGAGATGGAGATGTACAAGGTCAATAAAACAGTTTCATAGTTCCCTAGCGAGAACGTCTATGAGCCTTTGCTGAAAGGTTTCTGAGCCTAACTATGGTCGACTGCGTTGATTGGGTTGGGCTGCTACATATTTACATAATCCCTCCGAGGTCCACGCACTTCTGCCAACGATGCTGAAATGCCTGAATACCACTGGTGTAAAAGGCTTAATTCTGGTGGTTTAAAGAGTCCTCTACAGTAGAAATGACGTCACTTTTAGTTGTATAATGCTTGCCAATCGGGGCTTTCTTAACATTTGGGAAGAGGTTGAATCTGATGGTGCCTAATGTTGTGTATACGGAGCCACAACTCAAAACAACATTTATCAACAATTTTAAAACTTAGTTTCCATGAACGTTAGGAAACGGGCGTAAAATATCTCTTGCTGGTATAATGGAACTTGAAAAAGATATTCTTAAACGAATTGTGATTTATCAGCGTCACTGTTACCAAGTGGTTTCCTCACTGGGCTAAAGAAACGAAAGTTGCAAGTTCGATCCACGAAAAATAAAACATTTGATTCTACATAATTCCGCACATTTCATTATGAACATTGTCTTCAAATGCGAAATACATCTCAAACGAGAGACACACACATGCTGCACTATCACAGGAAGTTGTATAAATAAATTCCCGTACTATTAAATATAATTGCGTGGATATTATAACACCCCCGTTTATGAGATTATACCCGAAGTTAATAAGTACTTTTCATCACAAAGACGTTGGATAAACGTGGAAAATAATGAAAGATACAAAGACAAGAAATTGTTAATACAGATCTTTAAACTGATTACCTGCAGCGCGAATCATGGTTTCCACGCCCAAGTACAACCCGTGATAACCCCATATTCCTAATAACATTAGCTTATATTAACATGGGACAGTCGGTAAAGCCACAAAGGTTTCAGGTAAGTAATACAAACTACATATTTTGAAATATATATATTTACTCACAAAGATAGTTTTAGAGACATTCAATTCAAATCTAAATTTACCGCATATGAAATTCTCTTTTGAACTTATTTGTAATTTGTTTATTCAGCGCATCAAAACTTTTACTCCTAATAGTTTTAAGTCTTGCTATTTACGAGTCTTACATCCACCAAATGTTATAACCATCCGGATATCCTTTCTCCAACTGCACAAGGCCGCCTCCGTGGTCAAGTGGTAGAGCGTCTGCCTTGAGAGCGGAAAGTCGGGGTTCGATCCCCAGCCGCGTCATACCAAAGACGTTAAGAGAGGGTATTTGTTGTTACCCTGCCTGGTACTCGGCATTAAGGGGTTGAAACAAGGCATGGTCGGCTCGTAGTATACTGTGTCTGAGTGGGGTATTCAGGTTAAACTGCGGCATTGTATTTCTGTTGGCTAGCACTGTAAACTCGACATCAGTACAAACAGGCGCGCATCCAGGCACGTTGCTGTATACACTACTGCCTAAAAGTTCATTCCCCTAACACGCGTTGAGAACGCGTGTAACACGCATATGACACTGGTGTGCAACGGATGTGCAGCGCGCGTGCAACCCGTTGAGCACGCGTGAGTCACTCGTTGCACACGCGTGTGCCATGCGTGTAACACGGGACCGGGTTTCATTTGAAGTTGGAAAATATATTAAAAGAACAGTGAGATATATCAAAACAGTGAGATGTGAATCTTGAGTTAACGAGCGGCCATTGACCTGTGTTCACCAGACCATGAACACAAGGTCGGCCCGTCTTAATTAGTGTTCCGTTGTTGGACTTTTATGGCATGAACCATTCCAGAAGGGTCCAGTCTAGCCATTGTGGCTACCCGACAGTAGAACAGCAGTGAGTTTAGAAGCGAGTTTATTGCTAGGGGAATCCCCGAGTTGACACGATTGTCGCGGGTTGGTAAATGCTCGCCATTAGTGAAGTGATTGTTTGTGGATTGCGGACATATTCATTTTAAGTTTTGCCCACGTTAGTCATTGAGGGTGACTATGAATATAATGTTTTTCGTTCGCCAAATTCATGCTTTAGATAGTACAATTATGATAGAACAGTCATCACTACTTATGTCTTATTATTTCACGTAGGAATATGTCCCATTTTCCCACACCCCACTTTCTGTTTAGTATTTTGTAAGAATTATTAAGAGAATGTTTAGTGTGGGACTTAACATTTATCACTAATTCTAAGAGGATATTGGAAATGATTATGAACAGCCATGTTGTCTCACTGTTGATAGAATTTTAGATCTTCACAATGACCGGGTGTGACCATGTAGACAGAATCTCGTTAAGGTTTGTGATTTTTACATTTACCCAATGACCATGGTGAGGATTGTTGGGGATACCAAAGGTGACAGTTTACTATTAGAGGAAATTGGTTGTGAGTACTTATACCATTTGGATAGGATATCTTTAGGATTTTAATCCTTTCTTTCTCTGTGGGTAATCCTTTCACGTTGATGGAAGGAAGTCACTCAACCAGGTCATGACAATGGTTATGCGCAAGGCTCGGAATCAAGAAAAGATCACTAGAGGTGTTGATGGAGGCTGGGCATGCAGCATACAGCATTTCCAGTGTAGGCTGGCACCTCGTCTTTGTTTCACTCGGTATGTAAAACCTTGACCATTCACAGGTGCATTTGTCTATTTACAATGAAGTTGTTTGGCGTTCCCAGTATTTATATACTATCTCACTGATTACTTGTTAACTGGTCACTGCAAATGCCTTAATTATTTAAGTTTCAGTGAACTGAGTTTATTCACATGTTAGCTTTCAAAGGTTGTGATGGATACTTATAAAATCCTCAGTTGAGTTTACTCACTAACTACTGTGAGCGATTTTTGCATGACTTCTGTGCTTGTATAAACACAGTAACTGCTAAAAGCGACGTAAAACCATGCTCACTCACAGTAACTGTTAATCCTCTGCATTGTGCTGGCAAATTGGGGATAAACCTGTGACGATCAAACTTAGTTAGAATCCTTGTTTATCTGTGACATCTTCCAGCTGGTGACATTTTCGTAAACTTGAAAAGTGATGACGAATTATAATATTCATATTATTATAGTTTTTCAAATTGTAAATAAAACTTTGATATAATTGTGCTACACCCATTGGAAAAATGTAATGTCTGTGGGTATATGTCACGTCACATCAGCATTTTTTTCAGTTATATTGCGGCGAAATAATTGCCAGCTTTTGGGACTACATGTAACATGGCTGCTTTTATATTTCTTATACAGGTGCTTGACTGCCTCAGTAGTGCATGATCAATTAGAATTTTTATTGTGTAAACAAATCAGTCAAGATTGCAACAATAGATGAATAAATTACATAAATCTGGACCACAGTTACCGATTAACAACTTAAGACATAGAGACAGGCAGTCGATATATAACAAACGTTATGGTCCTATTAAGACGATTGGCAGTTAGAACATTTCTCCTTTCTCCCTTAATCCCATCTTTCATGCATGTAAAACATATACTTATTGAGAGCTTTCTATAATCCATACAATAAACTAATGTTCATTCATTATGATATTGATGGGTGTAGGGAACAGTCCCTTTGAATTTTATGATTTAACACACACACATTTATGTACAGTTTGGCAGATTATAATAATATGAATATAAAAAGTCATCACCACTTCCCAAGTTCACTACAATGTCACCAGTGGGAAGTTGTCGGAGATAAACACGGATTCTAACCAAGTCTGATTTTTTTTTACCATGGAATGCATGAACTGGTTGAGTGACTTCTTTCCATCAGAATTACACACAGAGAAAGAAAGGGGGGTTAATGTATTACATTACGTTACATTATTGAGTATAGAAAAGATTTATAGGTATATATGTTGACTATTAATTATAAATGATGTATAAAAGTTTGCAATATAGATAAAATTAAGCCCATATATATAAGTAATGTATAGCTTTGATAGGTGTAAAGCACAGCAGGATATAGTAATATAAACAGTTAGGCTGTATGAGGGGCCTGCTAAATAAAGGAAAACTGAAGTGAAGCCTAGCTTCAACATTGATATATTTGTATGTTAATATGTTTGATAGCGCTTGTACAAG